TTGGCCTCTTGATTAAGAATACCTGTATTCTTGATTATGATAATGATCTGTATTCTTGATTAAGAATACCCGCCAGCTATTGGTCACATGTTCGGATCCTGCCCACGGCAAGTCATCTTTTCACCCACCTTTCTTTCTTCTCATTTACATTACAAGTGGCCTAATAACTTCCCCTATACCTTCCTTGGCATAATTGTCTGTTAGATCTCATTAATATTGTGTAAAACACGAAAAAACGAGCCCTTAAGTATACACTTGTTTCCCTTATTCATTAACAAAGGGTCTCGTACTGGCAGACTTGATGCCTCTAGTTTGTATACGGGGGACTATTGGTCAGCTGCCAGTTAGTAATAAGTTCACGTGCTACGTGACGCCAAACAGGCTCATAAAGAGTGTCCCACACTCGCCGCCATGGCTACTAGTGGCGTTGACTGACACTCCCACGTTTAAAGTGACATAGATACCCAATAATGTTGCTGGGGGGATAGCTGTCGTGGTAGCTCAGGGGTAGAGCATCGAACGCGTTATTCGACGGTCGCAGGTTGGGATCCTGCCCAAGGCAATTTATCTTTTCACCCACTTTTCTTTCTTCTCATTTACATTAAATTGACCTAATAACTTCCCCTATACCTTCCTTGTATATATTGTCAGTTATATCTCATTAATATTGTGTAAAACACAAAAAACGACCCCTTAAATATGCACTTCTTTCCCTTATATATATATATATATATATATATATATATACATATATATTATATATATATATATATATATATATATTATATATATATATATATATATATATTCCATGTTTTTGACACTGAAATCTAACAGACAATATTGCCAAGGACAGCATAGAGAAAAGTGGGTGAAAAAATGACAAAAAGGACAAAAATGAGATGCCGTTATAACAGAGATAACCGAAAAGCTAATTTGTCGGTTCCTGCCCACGGCAAGTTATCTTATCACGGCCAACTGGCTGGCTGTATCCTGTCATTGTTGATTACTCAGCTCATAGAAGCAGTAGGTTGATTGCTTGTTTCTTGAACCTGCCCCGCCACGGTGGTCTAGTGGCTAAGGTACTCGGCTGCTGACCCGCAGGTCGCGGGATCAAATCCCGGCTGTGGCGGCTGCATTTCTGATGGAGGCGGAAATGTTGTAGGCCCGTGTACTCAGATTTGGGTGCACGTTAAAGAACCCCAGGTGGTCAAAATTTCCGGAGCCCTCCACTACGACTTCTCTCATAATCAAATAGTGGTTTTGGGACGTTAAACCCCACAAATCAATCAATCAATCAATTGTTCCTTGAACCACTACGAAGAATTTCACTAACGAGCGCTCAGATATGATTCTGCTTTTTCTTATTCTACACCTGGCTTGCACGTGCTCCTTTCAAAAGCGCGAATTTAATGCCACCGACACCACTGCCACGATTTTGCTATACGCTTGCGAAGCGTCTAATCAAAAAGGCATAACAACAGTCGTCCACATTACTACGTTTCAAATTACACGTGTCGTTTTGGAAGATTATCTTCTTCCTAAACGACAGCGAAGTTGGCAGGCGCTAGAAAACATTCGCGCGCGATGCACTCGGTTTCACTCGTTCGAACAAACGTTCTTCAGCACGCGCTCTGAGCATCACCAACTGAAACGCGATCGCTGTGGGCGGGAAAGTCTTGAGACACAAACGGCGTCGACTGGATTCGGCGAACGCTGAGTATTACAGTAGGTGACCTATGTCAAAATAGTTCGACCCTTAACGCCATGCCTGTACCGAATCGTCGGCAAAGACGCCACGTTAAGGGCCAGGAAGCGAGCCGCTTCGACGGGCTCCTGCGGGACTCCCAGAGGCACACCGCCGTACTCCGGGCAACGTTCAGAGCGACCTGAGACCCGATCGGACATTACTGAAGATCCGTTACTCGACGCCTGCAGGACCTTAGTCCCATCAGACCTCATTCGCCTCTTGCGCGCCCCGACGGTGTCCAAGCCAGGCGTGATGATGCAGGTCATCGACGGTTACGTCATCCAGTAGTAATTGCAACCTTTGTCAATTACGACCGCGGCAACGACATACAGTGTCGCGGATTCGCAGCGTTACTATCACGTCAGCAGCACGGACGCACCACCGTCGACGATGCCGGGCCCGGGAACGGACCCCGGTACGTCTGGATTCATAACGCAGGATGTGACTGCTAAGCGTAAACACCTGCAGTCCCTGGATTCGTCTTTCGTCGAGACGCCTGGCACAGCCAAGTCCCTTCCGGGTGCTGCAACGTTCACCGTGAAATTGAGGCGCAGAAGGAAGATTCTGTCACTGGTCAGCAAGAAAACTGAAAAAGGCCTCAAGATGACTACGAGAAAGACCGCCTCCTCTGTCCCAGGCGTCGATGCCACTTCCAAGTTGAACTCGTCAATGGGACTCCACCAGAAGTCCCACTGATGTTTCTCCGGGGCTCAGTGGCTTTGCAGGCATCTCCTCGGCTGCTAACCACACCCCGGCAGCGTCAGCAGGAACTTGCGTATCCACTGCAGAGTTGGGCTAACTCGCCGGAAAACTGGACGGTGGATGATGTAGCAGAGTACGTTTCCGGGATCCCTGGGTGCGGGCGCATCGCTGAGAAGTTCCGCCACCACGACATCGACGGCGGCGTGTTGTTCCTCATCAAGGAACACCACCTCATCAGGACGATGGACATGAAGGTGGGACCGGCATTGAAGATGTGTGCCACCACAAGTACACTTCGCGAGGTGCTGTCCTAAAACAAAATTGTGGCGCACGTCTGAAAAAAATTAAAAAAGGTGTTCTAGCTGTTTATACCACTGCTCACTGCGGCATGATCGTAAGTAACGCAAAAAAAAGAACGCTAAGTGTTACGGGAATGTACTCTTTGTGCTGCTTTCCATCATGTGAACGCCCCAAATTGAGAAAACATCTGTTTAACATTAACACCGATTGTGTTAAAAAAAACGATTGCAGTAGTCATCCATCTCACGCTTTTTCGCCATTGAATGACGTCGGCAAGGCGAGTTGAGTTGCGTCACGCAAAATTACAAGTGACTTGTTTTGTCTATTGGTGCTACCGAAGAACGAAACTTCTTAATTCTGCGTATTGAAATGGTTGTCCATCTGTTGACTCTAAATTAAAAATGTCTGGTCTGTGGCACTCCGTTTTCTGTAGATTGTCATGCACTGGTGATAGTGAATCAACGATAGCAGTAATGCAGCAAAAAACGGCCTGCGTTACGAAAGATCCCCGTTCATGAACACTGTCAATGGTTAATTTCTATAATAAAAGATACAAGTTATTCTGGTATAATAATCGATTGATTCGAAGGTAATCTGTTGAAGCAATACTTCTTTACAGACTAGTAGGTTCGTACTTGAAAACTCGAAACTCAACTTGCTGGGCAAGTTGAAGGAAAAACCTGTCTTCCGTCTCGTTTTTCCTTCAGGTTGCGCAACAAAGCGACCTTTAGCATAAGTAATCATTTTTAAGGACTTCGACATCATGCCCTTGCAAGCACCGCTACAGAAATGTGGCCGCGCGCATCATAATTACTATGCGACGGAGCAATCGGCGTCTGTAACATTGATGCAAGGTTCAAAACCACCTCAGTCGCGTTTTACCATAAAAACCAACAAGAAAAATTGAAACGCGCAAATTTCACTTTTTTTATTAAATGTATATAAGGAGAGGTTGGTGCCAATGCGTGGCGCCGGCTACTCCTCTTCTCTTGCACAAAAGTCAACATCGCACATTCAGTAGCAAACACAAGGCTATACATATGTACATAGCACAACACTTACACAATGAGTTCACGTTTTACACACTGAGTGTCCACACCAAACAGAAATGAGTCCACACTGCGTAGAACTGTGTCCACACCACACTGAGTTTGTAAGAAACAAAACGAAAGAAATCCACAAAAGTAATCACGCCAATTTAAGTGTTCACACAAAAACGTGAAAGTTCAATAAAACGTGTAAGGTGATCTAGTCGCTTAAAATACTGACATGTTTTCAGAAAGGTTTTCCCAAAAATACCGTAGTGAAGCTGGAAAATACTGCTTTGAAACATACCGCGGTTAACATTTGTTTTTTGTTTAGTACTTTTGACCTATTTCTGATTCCTCCAGAAAGTGAACGACTGCACGTGATGCAGTGGCTTGTAGCTTTCCTTTTGGCCATGGACCCAAGATTCACTTGCCGTATCAGTACAACTTACACACGCTGCACCTCTGCTCTTCTTCACCTCGCATGAGCTCATAAAACGTCGCGTCTGCATCGTGTTTCAGCATTTACTCTATAAGCGAAAATCTATAATTGATAAACCACCCCAATCAATCAATCAATCACCTAAATACAGAAAACGGCATGCATGCGAACTCCGCCATCGAGCCGCGAAATCGAAAACCGAAACTCATGCCTAGCCGAAATAAGACAACGAGTACCTATATTGAGAACCGAAAATGAAAATCTTGACTAGCAATGACATCATCATCAGCAGTAAGTCATTCATTCGGGCAACGCCTCCTAAAAAATTATTCCTGGAACGTGAGCCGCAAACGCGCTGCCCTACCCTCTGATTTTACCCTCCTCCTTCGGTACGAAGGCGAGCGTCTCCGACGGCCGCCCCCTGCGAACAAAGCAATGCTCTCACAGTTGCCCCCGAGCAGCCGGGATGTCACGTGACTGAGCGGTATGGAGGCGAGCGGTCTCACGCGGCGGCCGGTCGTAACACAAGGTGCAGAAGGCATGACCTCCGAGATTGCGTTCTGGCAGGAGGCTCCCAATTGAAAAGAGAGCGCCATTCTAGGCCTAGATTTTCTAGAAAGCGGCGATTCGGGACACGTTATCTGTGTTTCATTTCGCTGCCGTGAGATTCCGTGAGCACGCGTTTGATATCGAGCTGACCGTTAACAAAAGGCGCGCACTCAGTGTTGAATCACAGTTCACAGCGACGCGCATTGTTCGAGACAGGACGACGACGACGATGAGCAACGCTTGGAAGCGTGGAAGACCGACGCGACGCCGGGGGACCGGCAAGACGAAAGGCACGGCGTGCTGCGGTGGCCGACAACATCATGGTGCGTCTTCCCGAAAAAGCGCCGAGCGCTGGCTAGAGACCACGGAGCAAGCGTCACTACCTCCGCCGGCTACAAGCGCGCCAGAACCACTGTTCGCCCGCATACCCCAAGAACGGTGCACCAAACCGGACGTCACGACGCACGTTATCTGCGGGCACGTCGTGGAGGAGTCGTCCGAATTGTTCGAGTGCGAATTGAGAGCCCAACCCCATGCAAAGCCGGGACCAAGCGCAGTCGACGCCAGTCCTCCACAGCAGCTCTCGCTCGTCAACCGATTTGCAGGCACCGCCTTTGACAGCCGCAAGGCGACGCCATTGCGGATACCCGGCGTCATAGGTACTCGTCGTCACGAAGCTGTGACTATGACCGCTACGTCAACCGTTGCAGCTAAGCAAACTTCTATACTAAGTAAGACGCCGCCTCCGCCCCTCCTGGCACTGGGCGTCGTTAGTGCGAGGCAAACCCCAGCTTCCACCGTGATTTGCGTCCGCGGAGGAGACCATCCGACCGCCGCTACTCAGCGTAACTACGATCAGAACCGCAGCATTCCAACAACGATTCCGCACAACCAGGCGGCCAACGCGTCTTCGCATACCGCGTGCGAAGCTGCGGCCCCAGACGACGCACTCGTGAAAGGAGAGGGCGATGCATTGGCGGCTTCGGCGCCCTGCCCGCCTTGGCAGCATCCGTGCGCGGGTGAACGTGCGATCGCGGACGGCGCCCGTACGCGTAGGAGTCTGCGTGAAATGGCATCGCAGGTCTCGCCGCCTGGGCCTAGTAGGCTTGCACGGGCTCCTACGGAGAAATCAGCCGATGAGTGGACGGTAGAAGACGTGGTACGGTACGTCAAGAGGATCCCCGGATGCGCCCGGCACGCCGAGAAGTTTCGCAAAGAGGAAGTCGACGGAGAAGCCTTGCTACTTCTTCGAAAAAAACACCTGATTGTCTATATGGGCCTCCCCGTCGGTCCAGCGGTGAAAATATTACGCGCAACACGTGAATTGCGCATGCGCCAGCACCCGAACTAGGACGTTCAGCATTTCGTCTTAGACCGTTGGTATTTCTTTCCCTTTTTTTTGACAGAAGTGTTTTCCTTTTTTGATGTTTTTAATTGAGTGAGTTTTTGTGTTTTTTACGTCTATTTTTCCACTGTTGCACGTGTCTATTGACCCCTCCAACAGTGCTGCACATTAACTGCTCCGGCAATCGCAACCCTGAGATCTTCGATATCTTGTGTAAAAAAATGGGGTACCAACAGGTTTGTGTTTAGTAAAATATTTTAATGCGTTTTTTAGAGTTTTTTTCTCTCTCTGAAACTTGCGGAATGCAAAGCCCACGGTTCAATGTGTGAATTAGGTAACCTAAGGACCACTTACCAGGTTCGACAATAATTTTGAGCTGACAAGCGCAATACGTAGATGGGCCGTACAAAATCACACCTGCCAAAAATTACAACGCTGCGCGCCGCGAAAATAGGTCAAATTTAAAGATGTACGCCGCTCCTCCTTCCTTTCGCGGGCACGCGTTCAGAGAAGGGGGGCATGATGTGCACGTGTGAATGGCTCTACGTATACGGCAGTGCAGTGGCGTTGGTCCTCTTCGTAGACGATTATGCTTTGACGTTGCCAACAATGGCACGTCAGAGAATACATACCGGGACACGTGACATGGCAAAGATTAACACGATATGCGCAGTTTATGTAATTTAATGCTTGAAAAGAATAACAAAACTTGATATAACTAATAAGACGCAATAAGGAAATGTGCGCGTCTTTTTTTTTTCGTGAATTGAAACGAGATGCGAGGCTAATATGCCGGCATTTCGCATGCGTTTCCGTCCCCGCGGTCAGCGCATCGAGCAGACGACAGAAGCGAAGGTAACGCTCCTACGCGTTCGAGCACAAATTATGCTCACCTATTCTACCGCGTCTTCCAAACCATCCCGCAGAAACAGGCAGAAGACCACAAAATAACGCTGGTCAGCAAAAAATAAAGCAAAAAATGGCCCCGTATCTGCATCTTAATCTGCAAATGTCGTCGAAGGACGATTCTTGCTTCTGGAGAGAGTGAACAGAACGTTTATTTGATGTTCTGTGCAAGAAAATCGGGAAATGGTATTCTGGAGGCGCTGCGTTAGAGTGTCTCGAGCGTGCAGCGGAGGCGAACGAGCGCATCAAGTCACGCCACACGTGAGACATGAGCGCTATCTGGCAGTTATCCTGGAAAACGAAGCACGTGGCTCTGAGACGGGTGTGCACGCCCGTCTGAGAGCTCAGATATGATGAGGTGTAGAAAGCAAGGCGATGGGTAGGTGCCAACACCGTGTCTTCTTAGCGAAGCGTTGGAAATACTTGCCATTTCGTACAAGCGTTGCATGGTCAGCGCAGCGTTATAAGCACTACGGTCCTTAGAATCACCTATGTATGCACTTTGTAGTAAGAGACGCACATACAGAATATATGCGTGTTGTTGTGGTGCCTCAGATATGTGCAATAATTGCTTTTTAATTGACAATCACACAAGTATGACCACTGAGTCTTGAGAAATATTGCTGGGCGCTGCGAATCGGGTCGGCTGTTAGGAGTATGGGCTTGTGTCGATTAGAGTATCCGCTACTGTTAAGGGTGAACAAACACAGACAGACCAAAATGTTTGCGTCGAAGGTTAAAGAAAACTAGCAACCTCAAAAAAACGTCACTCGCATACTCGGTGGCTGTGCTTGTTCGTGCACGGCATTCGCACGTGATCTCTTTGTCGGGTACTAGAGAGGGTAGGGTAGAAATTTGGGTTGCGAAGACTACGTGGAGCAGCGGAGAGGGTTTCGAGCTCGCCTCCTTTCATCCTTGTTTCGCGCCGCTTCAAAAGAACTGTTTTCTCAGCTCGTAATGAACCGATTGAAATACTTTTTGTGGCATAATGCTCCTCATCGGACATACAACAATTTCCATGGTCTAACTGAAATCTGTTATGGGGCCTGGTGAGTGGCCCTTGATTACTGTGATTACTAAGCATGTGTGATTACTAAGAATGACTGTGATTACTAAGCATGTGGGACGTTACAATTATTCGAATGATTATTAAAGTATCAATCCAACTTGACTGGAGACTGCTGTATTAGCACATGTGCCATTCATTCGCGAGAGCATGCCATGGACACCACTTCTCACTGCATGAGCAAATGTGAACGCTTTGATATAGGGTAGTGCCTGAAAAACAAGCACAGTGTTTTTAAAAGACCGCCTAAGTTCCGAAGTATTCGTGGCATTTCGAGATAATCAGACGTGACAATGGGTTTGACACGTGGATGACGTCGGGTCATCTGCCCATGGGTGATGCCTTCAGTGGCACCAGTGCTAGGCTGTAGTGAACCGACAAAAAATGGGGGGATAATCCTTTGGGAGTTGAACAAAATAGTGATATCCTGTCCCGAGTGCGTACTTCAACCATGTGATACTTTTTTGTTTTATTTAATTGAGAAGTCTAAATTGTGAATTGCTACATTATAATCTTTTAAATTTGAGAATGAAAGCTTTTATCAGCGAAGCTTTCGCTTATGGCTGCATTCTGTGTAATGGGTAGCATGCTTTAAACCACGAGCAATACTGCAGATGAAATGGTTTTCGAACTTTCCATATACCCACTACGATGGTTTTAAGGTAATACGCGTGGTAATGTGTGCGCCTTTTGTATTGGGTGGCCGGCTTTATACCACGAAGTCTTTATGACATTATCAAATGTTCTGACGCCCTATGGCAATATAAGCTTGTTCCACGCAATATTACTGTGCTATTACATATTTGTGTAGCGAAGCCTGTATAGAGAGCGGAGTGGTCTTGCGCTGCCTTCGTGGACCGGCCCACGTTTAAACCAAGCGAAGAACACATAAAATGATTTCGTTATGACGCCACAGAGTTTTATGATCGTGACGTCACAATGACGACAATATGTGTCCGGCAGCACTCAGAGTCGCGTTTGGTAAAGGCAAAAAAAAAACTAAATCTGGAGCTCTTTCGGCGTCGTGAAAATGAGAGCAAGCTTCCCTCAGTGTGCGCGGGTCTTGACTTCTACGTGTTTCATTAGATCATGGCTCTAAGGAGAAAGCTTTTAATGACCCATGCTCACGGAGTCCGACCGTCCGTACTCTGGAACGGTGCCAGCTGTATAAGCAATCACGCGATTGGACAGCGGGGCATAGAGCAGTTGCGTCAACACAGCTGTGAACTCTCCCCCTTTCACCCTCTCATCGGTCACGTGATTGCCGAGAGAAAGCTAGAAAAACAAACACAAGACATTTTATAGTCGAATGGACTCAAGCTTTGGCCGAACACACTTTGAAATTCGCAGCGTCCTTCAAGAAGCGAAATAGCTGTGATTGCTTGTGGGCGTGGCGTGAGGGCGCGCTGGAACGCGAGGTCATGTGTAACGTTGGCAATAAAGTTGTTCTCACTCACTCACTCACTCACTCATGTGTCACGTTGGCACGATTCAAAGCGTGAAATAACTTCGATAAAAAACAAACTGCTATATCAGAAATGGCTCACCGCTGGCAAGCCCGCGATCAAGACAGCATCGTTTATCGTTGGAAAAGGTGAATACAAATGCATGTGGTCCGCCACAGTGGGGTAGTGGTTAGGTGCTCAGCTTCGGACCCGCAGGTTGCGAGTTCGATCCCAGCCGTGGCTGTCCCATTTCTAAATTGTTGAAGCACATGATGTTAAAGAAGACCAGATGGTAATTTCCTGATCCCTCCACTATGACGTCTCTTATAATATTCATGGTTTTGTGACCTAAAATGCCCAGATATTATTATTATTATTATTATTACAAATACGTGTGTGTCAGACCCCAGCAGCTGCGAAGCAACTGACCACGGCGGCGGTCAGATCTGCAACGCAGCAGAGGGTGCTAAGAATCTCTGGATCCGGACAGGCCGCCATTGGAATCTGAACTTGGCAACGTTTAACGCTAGAACCTTATCTAGTGAGGGAAGTCTAGCTGTACTATTTGAGGAGCTAGAGGGTGTTAAATGGGATATAATAGGGCTCAGTGAGGTTAGGAGGACAGATGAGGCCTTTACGGTGCTACAGAATGGGCACGTCCTTTGCTACAGGGGCTTGGCAGACAGAAGAGAACTGGGAGTGGGGTTCCTAGATCACAGAAACATAGCTGGCAACATAGAGGAATACTATAGAATTAATGAAGGGTGGTAGGTATCGTAATTAAACTGAATAAAAGATACAAGATGAAGGTAGTACAGGCTTACGCGCCTACATCCAGCCATGATGACGCTTCAGTTGAAAGCTTCTATGAAGACGTGGAATCGGCAATGAGTAAGGTAAAAACACAGTATACTATAGTGATGGGCGACTTTAATGCAAAGGTAGGGAAGAAGCAGGCTGGAGACCAGGCAGTAGGAGATTATGGCATCGGTACAAGAAACGCCAGAGGAGAGCTACTAGTAGAATTCGCAGAACGCAATAATTTACGGATTTTGAATACCTTCTACCGAAAACGAGAAAACCGCAAGTGGACATGGAGGAGCCCTAATGGCGAAAATAGGAACGAAATAGACTTTATAATGAATGCACACCCTGGAATCGTGCAGGATGTGGAAGTGATTGGCAAGGTACGATGCAGTGACCATAGAATGGTACGGTCTCGAATTCGCCTAGACTTGAAGAAGGAATGACAGAAACTGATACGCAAGAAGCCAATCAATCAGCTAGCACTGAGAGGGAAAGTACAGGAATTCAGAGTGTCGCTGCAGAACAGGTACTCGGCTCTTAGTGAGGAAACCAACCTTAGCGTAGATACAATGAATGATAATCTGACGAATATCATTACGGAGTGTGCAGTGGAAGTTGGAGGCAGGGTAGTTAGACAGGACACTGGCAAGCTTTCCCAGGAAACGAAGAACCTAATTAAGAAGCGACAAATCATGAAAGTGTCAAGTACAACAGACAAAATAGAACTGGCAGAGCTTTCGAAGTTGATTAATAGACGTAAAGTATGCGATGTAAGAAGGTAT